GGATCTAATTCATTCTTTCCTTTTCTAATCGTTTCTAGCCCCTGCCGAGATCTACCCCTAGCAAACCGAGCTCTGATACCATTGTTAATACTTGTAGGATCGTCTAGGAGTAGATCCGGGGTGTTAAACATTTACTGGATGAATCAAAGACCTAGAACACGTTCTAGACAGAGAGATAGAGACAGAGAGAGGATAGAGGAAGAACGTGTCGAACCTAACACCACAGGGGGGATGATCCAGAAGTCGCCATCACGTTCGTCGGTGAAGTCTGCGCACGGACATCGACGTTCGGGGAAGAGGTCGATGAAGTCGTCGACGTCTGGTGGAGCGAGGCGGCGCGGCTGGTGGCTTCCCATCACTGGCTGCGCCCCTCTCTGATCAGATTAGGGTTTAGATTTCGGTGGGGAGCTCGGCTTAGGCGAACCTCGTGCGTAGAGCCGCCGGCCCCCACCTCTATTTATTGCGCAGTGTGACAGGGGCCCTCCAGCCATAGTGGGCTGAGCACCCCTGATCAGTGCACGGATCAAAGGCCCAACTAGGCCGTTGGGCCTAGCTTGGGATTAGAGATCAATCTAACAACCCTAGGTACAGTACAAATGAATGGCAATAGAGTTTTACATGAGAAAGATTTATGGCCTAGTATTTTTTTCTCGAATGAGCAGGAGAGCTGCATATCGTTGCAATAAGAAAGGAGATAAAGGCTAAATTAGCCATACAGACACAAACCACCCACTCACACTATTTTCTTAAAGAGTGAAATACACTGGCGGCTCTTTAACTTGTCGGCCTATGCCAGTTCGGTACACGAACTTGCAAATGCGGGAAATGAGCCCCTGAACTTGTCAAGTTGTTCACCGCAGGCCCATTTCCCATCCGGTGCGGCCTCCAGGCGACGTGGCAGCGCCAGCGTGGCGGACGAAGCACGTGAGCCGCACGTTTCAATAACGAAGATGCTGCCACGGCCTCGGCGGAAACACCACCAGTAACCACCGGGGCGACAGCAGCAGCAAGAGTGGATTCGAGGCACCCAGGAACAGCCTCGACCTCGACGCCGACAACCCCAACGACATCCAGATCGAGCCGATGTTTGACGCCCTCGCCAACACAACGACCAGCATGCGCCACTCCACCAAGCCCACCGCGCCATCGTCCGAGGCCGAGACGCCCAAGACGCCTAGCCTTGTCGCGTGTCTCATGGGCATCGACGGCCTGCTGGAACAACAACCCTCTCCATCGCCGGCGCAGCACAAGAAGCAGCCCAGTCGCACTGGCAGAAGATCAACTACCTCGACGGGCAAGGAGAACAACAGTTGCTTCTCCCTGCCCGCGTCCAAGGCGGAGAAGAAGAAGCGCGATCCGGAGTCCATGAACCGGCGGGGAGCCATCTGCGCAGCCTCATTTACCAACGTTGTCGGCGCCGAGGCCCGCTTCATTGTCGGACACGCCACGCGCGTGTGGGGCGGGCCCAGCCGTCGCTGCAGTACTCAAGAAGAACGTCCTCTACCGCGCCGCGCACTACATGTCCATGCCAGCACCACCCACCTCCTTGTCTTCTTCCGCCAAGAAGAAGAACAAGGATGTCTTTCTTGAGATCCTCCGCCAGCCAAGGAGACGATCGCCACCGCAAGTCCGGCAACAACAAACATCCGCGTCGCCGGCAAATTGAAGAGAGTAGAGCTACTTTAACAACAAGGAGAAGCATCACAACCCTGGGGCTGGAGCTCCCGCGGACGAAGCACGTCTAGGCCCTCTCCGGCACCGGTGGAACCGGAAGCTGTTGTTCCACCTGGCGCAAGAGTAGCTGGCGGACCTGCTGCTGGGCTTGGACGCTTCATCGCCGACGACGACGGGGCTACCGCTGCTGGGGAAGGTGTGGAGAAAGGTCCGGAGCTTCCCGGCGGCGGACTGCCGCTGGAGGCGCGAAGATGAGGTATTAAAACGTGCGGCTCACGTGTTTCGTCCGCCACGCTGGCGCTGCCACGTCGCCTGGAGGCCGCGCCGGATGGGAAATGGGCCTGCGGTGAACAACTTGACAAGTTCAGGGGCCCATTTTCCGCGTTTGCAAACTCGTGGACCGAATTAGCACAGGCCGACAAGTTAAAAGGCCGCCAGTGTATTTCACTCTTTCTTAAATTACATACACGCCTGTTCTTATCAAGAATCGCTGGTCGAGTAGCGACCAGACCGCTCAAGCCTTTGGCACCTGCAAGCATCCAGAGATCAGCCTCATCGAGTGCAAGGAGGAGCGCCTGATCAATTCTATGCGAGGCACCATTAAACACTATATCATTCCTTGTCTTCCAAAGATCCAAGCCCCTAGTACGACCAACGAGTCAAATCCACGCCGAGCCTCCTTGCTGAAATTCATGCCAGGTTGCTGCTACCATTCAAAAAACCCCGCTATATGGGGAGCAAGATCAGGGAGTCCAAAACGATTCAACAACTGATGCCAAATGTCCTGTTCGCTTGGCTGATAAGTCATGGCTGAAAGTATTGTTAGCTGATTTGTTATGAGAGAAAAATATTATTTGTTGACTGGAAAAGTATGGCTTATAAGCTATCATGGGGAGAAGACACAAGTACAGAGGAGATGCTGAATTGTTTCATCCTCCAAAAGGGGCACTGCTCAGGATGGGGAAGACCTCGTCTAGCAAGTCTATTGGCTATCCAACAGCGATTGGTCGTGCTAATCGTCGATTGGTCGTGCTGATGTAACTATTTGGTATAGGAACGCTGCAGTCTGCGGAGATGGGGATAGGTGATTGGGACTGCGAGGACTTTGAGGTCCAAACGTTCACAAATCTGACATACTGGTGTCCGTACAGCACAAATCAGGTGGAATTCAACTTTTGTTGAAGGACGCCATATGTTATAGAGATGCTTCTGATAGGCTTTATGAAACTGACAAAAAAAAAGGTACGCAGGGGTAATGGTGTCTGATGAAAATGGGATCAGGCACAAACACTTTGTAAATGCTTGAAGAGGTTTACCACTGAGTTATTGTCAAGAACTGCATATCCAACAGCAAATCTGTTTTACCAAAGCTTTTGTGAAATTAAGGCTTTAATTTCAGTGGTGTACTAGTGCAAATGACACTATTAGAGAAATGGCAAATTCTATGAACACTAAGATTGAGAAGTACTGGAACAAGTCAAATGTTGCCCTTACTGTGGCTTTCTTTCTTGACCCTAGGTACAAATGAAAGGCAGTAGAGTTTTACATGAGAAAGATTTATGGCCCAATATTATACTATGGTAAAGTAGAAGAGTTCATTGTTGATGTCAAGAAAATGTACCAAGATTATGGTTCTTTTTCTCAAAGCCCTGCTGGACCAAACTCTAGTGTCAATACTGAAACAAAGAGTGACTTTATGGAAGAAGAAGATGATTTTCAGAACTACCTATATGACACACATTGGGGAGGGGGGAGGTTGAGGAGCTGATGAAGGTGAGGCAAAGGCAAGTGACTTGGACAAATACATGGAAGAACCACCACTAAGGGTTCCTAAAGCTGGTTCTAATAAATTTGAGATCTAGCTCAATTTGCCCGTGATGTCTTAGCCATCCAAGCATCCACTATTGCTTCAGAATCCGCTTTTAATGAAGGGGACGTGTCATTGATCAATTCCGTAGTCGTCTCGAACCTGAGGTGGTGGAAGCATTGGTCTGTGCCAAAGATTGGGTGGCAGCATCTAGAAGTGATGGTCACTTTTGTTCTCATTCTTTACTCTTTATTTAGGCTGTTTGCATATTATCACAAAGAATTTTGGCTATCCAATAAAATATTTTTCTTCGTAATTTGCATATCATAATAAAGGGGTCGGATCCATCCTTAATGATCTAGAGGTCGCATAGACTCTTATTGCAAATTTGACGCTCAAGGATCTTGAGGATCAGGTGTGGCAGTTTTACGTATACTGGGAGGAACGTGGAAATAAATAATGCTAGAATTCAGTCGGCTGAGGTCTCAGGCGATGGATTTTTGGGTCCATCTGCTGTCTTTTGCTGTTGAGCTGACGTAAGCACCAAGATAAGCATGACTCCGGCAACGTCGCCTGACCATTTGCACACAAAAAAAAACTTGTATAATAGCAATCCCCTTTTTCCTTTTCCATATCTACATGCGTTCGTGTTTTGAAAAAAAAATATTTCCTCCTTTTTAAATTATAAGGCATTTGTTTTTTCTAGATACGTAACTTTTGTTTTCTACCTAGATACCACGCTATGTTTAGATGCATAGCATAAACTATGTATTTAAATATGCTAAAATGACTTATAATTTAGAACGGAGTGAGTGAGTGACTATATCCAAACGGCAAAACGTACGGACCTGATGAGGCAAGATCAATGGAGGTCTCACGCAGCTGTGCAAGCTTCTGGTGAGATCGATGACGCCAAGATTGCTGCCTTGCTGGCATCGATGGTCCGGCTCCTGCTAAACGTCTCGACAACTGAAACTTTTCCAAGGAATTCAGAGGGCATCCTTGCCTATCTGATGGTCGGTGCCAGTGGATGAGCTTACAGAGGCTGAGATTGCGCATCGTAGAAGAGACAAAAATAGCCAAATAGGTTGCTCATGTTCTGTTCTAGAAAATCAAGCTTGTAAAAATCTGTCCTGACAACATCAGTAATGGTAGATGTAACCCTTAGTTATAATTTATAAATATATGCTCAGCCTTTGTAGGGAAAAAAATACTGATGTTCGGAGTTCGGTGGATAATTCGAAGGTTTTCAGCCGCGTGCAAGCTTTAATTTCTGAAGATTAAATGACCCTTGAAATACAAAAAAAATTAGCGTTACGAGTCTACGAAAGTTTCCAAAATGTTTGCCAAATTTTGGCTGGAAACCTGGGAGGATCGAGCCAACTTGTGGAAAAAAAAAAGTAGCGTCCCATGGCTATATAAAATCAGCACCTCGATCCTTCTACTCCCAGGCCACTCTATTTCTTACACCATTCCTGCGGTGCCCGCCCGAAGTTAGCTTAGGCTGCTTAGCACGTCCATGACGCCCACCAAGGAAGCCGCTGCTGCTATGCCAGCGCCACCACCGCCATCTCACTTCGTCATCGTCCCCCTCGTGGCGCAGGGCCACACCATCCCCATGGTCGACCTCGCCCGCCTCCTGGCGGAGCGCGGCGCGCGCGCAAGCTTGGTGACGACACCGCTGAACGGCGCACGGCTGCGTGGCGTCGCCGAGCAGGCCGTGCGCACTAATCTGTCCCTCGAGATCGTCGAGCTCCCGCTGCCGACGGACACCGACGGCGGCCTGCCCCCGGGCATCGAGAACGTGGACCAGGTCACGGACAACGGCCACTTCATCCCCTTGTTCAACACCGTGCAGAAGCTCGCCGGCCCGCTGGAAGCGTACCTACGAGCGCTGGCGCTGCGCCCGAGCTGCATCATCTCCGACTGGTGCAACGCGTGGACGGCCGGCGTGGCCAGAAGCCTCGGCATCCCTCGCCTCTTCTTCCACGGGCCGTCGTGTTTCTACTCTCTCTGCGACCTCAACGGCATCGATCACGGGTTACGCGAGCTGACCGCGGCGGCTGACGACCAGGAGAGGTTCGTCGTGCCAGGCATGCCGGTGCACGTGGAGGTGACCAAGGCCACGGCGCCGGGCTTCTTTAACTCGCCGGGGTGGGAGGCGCTCTGGACGGAGTGCGTGGAGGCCATGCGCACGGCCGACGGCGCGGTGGTGAACACGTTCGTGGACCTCGAGGGCCAGTTCGTGTCGTGCTACGAGGCGGCGCTCGGCAAACCCGTGTGGACGCTTGGCCCGCTCTGCCTCTCCAACCGGGACGTCGATGCCATGGCGTCGCGCGGGGACACGTCGTCGGGCGGCGTCCAGCTGCAGAGCGTGGTGGCCGCCTGGCTCGACACGAAGGACACGGACTCCGTCGTGTTCGTCAGCTTTGGCAGCCTGGCGCGGAAGCTCCCGAAGCAGCTGTTCGAGGTCGGCCACGGCCTCGAGGACTCCGGCAGGCCGTTCCTCTGGGTGGTGAAGGAGGCCGAGGTGGCCGCGGCGCCGGAGGTGCAGGAGTGGCTGGGGGCGCTAGAGGCGCGCACGGCTGGGCGCGGCCTCGTGGTGCGTGGCTGGGCGCCGCAGCTCGCCATCCTGTCCCACCGCGCCGTGGGCGGGTTCGTCACCCACTGCGGCTGGAACTCGCTGCTGGAGTCCGTGGCGCACGGCGTGCCCGTGGTGACGTGGCCGCACTTCGCCGACCAGTTCCTGAACGAGCGGCTGGTGGTGGACGTGCTCGGCGTCGGCGCGCCCGTCGGCGTCACGGCGCCCGTGATGGTGTTCGACGACGAGAACGTGGCCGTGGCGCGTGGGGACATCGTGCGGGCGGTGTCGGCGCTGATGGGCGAAGGGGAGGAGGCGGACGAGAGGAGGAGGAAGGCCAAGGAGTACGGGGAGAAAGCTCATGTGGCCATGGAGAAAGGAGGGTCCTCGTATGAGAACCTGACGCAGCTGATTGAGAGCTTCAGGCAATGTGGAGGCAGAAAAGGTTAGGCTAGAACAGTGCATGCATGGACTACCACCATTGCAATGGCAGTACGGATGCAGGAAGAATAGCAGAAGCTTACAAATTGCAATGTTCGTTTTCATCGTTGGTATGGTATGTAAGTACTCCACTCGTCCCAAATTGTAAGACGTTTGATTTTTTTGTCTTAAGTTTGACCACTCGTCTTATTCAAAAAATTTGTGCAAATATAGTCAAATTTAAGTTATTTTTGAAGAATTTTTATTAATAAACCAAACCACGACGAAAAAAGTGATATTTTACATAAATTTTTGAATAAGACGAGTGGTCAAACTTGGTGTCAAAAAAGTCAAACGTCTTACAATTTGAAATGGATTGAGTACGTTTTTCCTTTTTTTTTTTTGAAACTGGTATGTAATGTACTAGTAACTACTATGTAACAACCAGTGATTGTGTTCCATGGTTTTCTTTTTCCACTCAAATCTTTTCATGCTTTATTCATCGAGTGCCCCTTTTCCCGTTTGGTTTGGAGCCGAGTGGCAGAATGGAGTGGCTGCCAAAACCTGCAGCCATCACGATGGTTGGAGTGCTGGCCTGACAGTGAGAGTTGGCTTCTGGGTGTAACCAAAGAAGGCACAATGGCGGCTCACACCTTGGCCATCCTCACCTTGTGTTCGGACAGCCCGGGTAGTTTCCTTGGGAGTCAGGGATGTTTGCTCCCTTAGGTCTTTGACTGGGGGTGTTCCTGAAGCCCCTTTTAGATTGTAATTTGCCTATGAGTAATTAGCTTAGAACTTAATTTAATACTACTACAACGGTCTGCTGTAAGTAGTAGCGCATCTCGCACTTGTAAGGGGGTCTTCTGACCCTGTAAACTCTTCCTTCTTATCAATAATATGCCGGGTGACCGGATTTTTCAAAAAAAAACTTTCCTGCTTCAACAGTATATGATGCCAGTACGTAAGTCTTTTTTTGTTTGCCCGCCGCTCGATCATTTGGCATTATCGCCCACCGCATTTCATAGGCTGCGGCGACTCCGCTAGTCGCCTAGTCCGCTTGGAATGAAGAAGTGTTCGTCGTGGCAATCAACCAAGGTCATTGGTCATTTGGTCACATGCTTGCTTCGAGGATAAGTCCAATCAAATAATTTACGTGCCTTAGCTACCTCGTCGTTTTCATGGTAGGTATCGAAAGGAACTAGCTAGACCAATTCGGGGGGTATCCAATTGGAGGCAAATAATTTACGTTCGGGGGGTATCCAATTGGAGGCAAATCTATGTATGGAGTATGGCACTTTAAGATCTTGCACCCGTCGTTTTTTCGACTGGGAAAAAAGAACGTGCAACCGACCTGGTTTGTCTGAGCAACTTGTAGATTGATGCAAGATTTGATGTTGATTGATGACTACGTTGAGTGAGTGACTTGGTTAGCCACTAGTGCCTGTCAAAACATTAATGCTGATCGGATCAAGATTCAGTCTTAAAGATTCGCAGGCGAAATAAGGTTGGGCCTTGTTTAGTTCGTTATGAATCCGTATTTGGCTTGTTCAATTATGCTGGTTGATCAAGTTCCTTATGCTGGGACCTGATTTAACGTGATGCTCTAAACAATGCCTTGATCAAGTTCCTTATGCTGGGACCTGCATGCTCACTTATGTCGTAAGTTCACGACTTGACATGGATGTTTAGAATTTTTTAAATTTAGTGATAAGCGAGATGACAGTTGACAGCAATGAGCTTGCCGGACCAGTCACAATCTTTTGAAGGTACTCATCGAAGTAGGGTGCGTATGTGTGTTTATAGAAGTAAGATTGAGGTGGTCACACAGGTAGAATATGTACATGCATTAATAGGACTGAGTGCCCATGCATATAACTGTGATTCATAAACAAACTCACAAAACTTAGAATAACTCCGAAAGCCTCTCTATATCCTTCCTTTTTTATAGAAGTAAGGATTTTAGTTAAAAAATATCTTAAATTGGATCTTTAAATATTGTCATCTCTATTCTAAATCATCAAATAGTATATGTTTAGTCGTTAACTTGTTATCCTTAGTGTACGGAAAATAATGTGTGTTTTCCTAGACCTAAATTTCAGGATCGTTGCAGGCAAGGGTGTTCGGCTGATCCATTGCTAGCTTGTTTCAGCTTATTCTCTCTCACAGAACACTATTGAATTAGCCGAAATCAGCCACAAACTGATCAGTGAGCACCCTTGGCTGCAACTAGGAACTTAGTAATTTCAAAATGATTCACGAGAGAGGTACCCCAACTTTTCATGTGAGCGTCGAGTAAAGGGTGATGGAAGAAGGAAAAAGCCCATTCCCATGAGTTTAGTTAAAAGTGATTGGTGGTCCAAAAGTTAGTGATGAACTCTTAGGCCTTCACCAACGCTCCACTTTGGCGCACTGCCCCAACCTCCGCGTCCACATTTCACAGCCATGTCGCTTGCCAAAAGGCTGAAGTAGTGTCTGAAGAGTGCATTAGACTGTCTCCAGCAGGCTATGCATCACACAACCCATACCCAAAATGCCTAATTCACATGAAAGAAACGACCTCCAACAGAGTAGACAAAGGGAAAACCTAGTTTGCGTGGGAGGTGAGAGGGAACTCAAAAATGCGTATGTCTCTCTCCTCGACCCAAATCGACGACAAGAGGAGAAGCTTGTCGGATGCGGCTCTTGCTCCGAGGAGGATCACCGGCAAGAAGCACGCGCGGACCAGGAGCTTCTCGTCGTCCATGACCACGAGCAGGAACCGCACCGACGCCTGGTGGCGGTGGGCGCTGTCGCAGGAACCGCCGCCGTTAGAGCCGGACGCCTCCAGCAGGGAAGCGAAGAAGGAAAGCCCCGGCGGCGCGGCGGCAACGACCATAGCCACGACGAGACCCAGGACGTCTTTGCGGCGTAGGAACTCATCCGTGAAAGGGCACAGGTCCGCGAAGCAGGCGGCGGCGGGCTCAAAGCTCCCGCTGGTCTCTGCCCCAAAGGGAGGGGAGAGGAGGGAAAGGGAAGAGGGAGAGAGAGAGAGAGAGGAAATAGGACGCCGGCGGGGGCTGGGCTCCGGCAGCGGCGGCGCTTTAGTGCGGTGGAGGTAGGGCGGCAACAAGGCGTGGCGTCAGAGCAGAGAGCGAGCGAGAGGGAGCAGGCAGCAACGTGATGTGAAGAAGGCGGTGGCAACCCGGCTCCAATGAGGAAGAAGCACGGGGTGAGCAGCGGTGGCGGAGCAGGAAGCACAGGGTGAGTAGGGCGACGGCGGTGGCGGCGGCGGCGCATGAAGGGACCCTTTGGGTTGGCTGTTGGAGAAGGAAAGATTTGGATATGTGACATTTTTACTGTGCCGGACTCGATGCATAGAATGTGTTTTATGTTTGGGTTTGTGTTGTTGGATACAGCCTTATAAGGAATAGGTGCTCTGCCCTGACGCCGTCTCTCCCCAAGACCACACTCTGGAAAGGCTAGGAGCTAATCAACAGTGACCGCGTAGCAACACTTGGTAAAAGCAAAGGATGTGACAGGAAGGGAGAGAGTAGACGGGTGTAGGATCAGGGGTGTTTGGTTCCATGGACTAAATTTTAATCCATATCACATCGGATGTTTGATAATAATTTGGAGTATTAAATATAGACTAATTACAAAACTAACCATACGATTGAGACTAATTTACGAGATGAATCTATTAAGCCTAATTAGGCCATGATTTGGCAATGTGGTGATACAGTAAATATGTGTTAATGATGGATTAATTAAGCTTAATAGATTCATCTCGTAAATTAGTCTTCGTCTATGTAATTAGTTTTATAATTAACTCATGTTTAGTCCTCCTAATTAGCATCTGAACGTCCGATGTGATAGGAACTCAATTTTAGTCTCTGAACCTAGAGATATCACTGTGTGCCTGCGTCGAAAGAACAGTGGCCTAAATAATTTCCTACCGACGTGCAAACGAGCTTTTAGGTGAGGCTAATAGCAATTGCTGCCCGCATCGGGGAAGCCCTTATGAGGCTTGTCACTCTTCACTTGTCAAAAATGAATGATGGACTCTGGTTAGAACGAACCATCACTATCAACTCAACGGTGATAAATATGTTTCTCACTACACGTTGTTTTGGCTGCCCAACGAGTTTGCCAGTGAACCAAACGGACGACAAAGCTTAGACGACAAAGGACTCCTAGAAATGGTGCCCACAAAACATATGCTTCAATATATGTGATCGGCGTGCAAAAGGGGAGGCGCATGTATCCCAGGACAAATTTGGGGTTGAGGACCAGGCCGCGAGACAAACGAGAGATCCATCGCACCGTGCAGGACTCGCGCGGTTCGTTATGCATGCGTTTGTGCGGGAGATGCCAAAGGCAATCGTACACCTGCTCACTCAGAAGAAGCGTGGGGATTGTGTTGGTTGCCGTTGGTCGGCAGGCAAAACCGAAATTATGGTGTACCGTCCGTGCAAGACGCCAAGACTGTACACTGATATGTTCGTTCCATATTTATCCATTTCATTCCAGTTGGAACAGAATATACGGATACTGTAGGATCGATTTACTATAGGGCTAGCATAGGCAAGCCGAGGGGTATGATTGCGAAAGCTAATTATTACTCCCTTCATTCCAAATTATAAGTTGCTTTAACTTTTTTGGTTCATCCATTTTGCTATGTATCTAGACATAATATTATATCTAGATGTATAGCAAAATAGATGTACCAAAAAAGTCAAAACGACTTATAATTTAGAACAGAGTGGAGTATTATTTTTAGGATTAATACAACACCTCAAATAAATTTCGACTTACTCTTGTTGTTAGAAACAACAATAAGAAATATCATGCATAGATGAATTAAATAATTATCTCATCGATGAAAAGAATGCAATTATAAGATCCGTGCCGGTCAAAGTAGCTCAAGTTTGACCAAATTTATAATAAATAGGATTAATATTTATATCTCCAAATAAATTTATTATGAAAATATATTCTACGACTAATCTAATGATACTAAATTTGCATCAGGAATGTTAGTGTTTTTTTAT